TTATAACAAATGATACATGTCTCCCACGTGCACTATTAACCATATGACAAAACTATATATTCGATAAGATACAGTCCATTCGTGAAGATCGTTTCGCGTGGGTTTAAATACATTACACGCGAAGCATTGTCTTTTTTTTGCGTTCTTGAAATTTGAATTTAGAATTTAAAAATATATTTTACTATAGAGGAATTATATAACAAGGTAGAAACGAAAGAAAAAAGTGTTTAAAAAAATAAAGTTTTTCTCATTTTTGGAACCCATCATTTCCATAAAGAAATTTTCCTATAATTTGAAATAAATACACTTTTGAATTAGTTAAAATTTAAAAATAAGTAATTAATTTTTAAATCAATTTTTATTAGAAAATTCTATGAGAATTCAATTATTTGAATAAAAAAATAAATAATTTTTCGAATAATTGAATGTTTCTTAAAATTGAATTCTCATAAAGAATGTTATCAACAAATTTTTTAATAATTGACTTTTTTGATGAATTTTAATAAAAATTTTAAGAATAATTACTTTTTTCGATAAATTTGATTAATATTCTATTAAAAATAATTAAAATTCTGCGATGAATTTTTGTTATTTATGAAAATAATTGATTTCTTATACAGAATTTCATTATTTATGAAAATAATTGTATTCCTTAAAAAAAAATTAAAAAATAATAATAATAAAATAAATAATAATAAAAAAAATAAACAGAATTTTATTATTTATGAAAATAATTTAATTATTGCGAAGAAATTTATAAAAAATTTGTAAATAATTGAATTCCTGGGAAATTTTTATTATTTTATGAAAATAATTAAATGTTTGTGTAGAATATTATTAAAAATTTTTTAAATTATTGAATTCTTTTGGAAAATTTTATTAAAATAGTAGATATTGAAAATCATTGAAATTTTGACATGAATTTGATTAAAATTTTGAAAAATAATTTAATTTCAGAGAAGAATTTACTATTAATTAGTATAATTAGGATAAATAGTTTTTCTCGTTAAAATAGGGGAAAATTTTTCTGAATAGAAGAGAATAAATAGTTTTTTTCTTTTAAAATAGGAAAAAATTTTCCTGAGTAGAATAGGATAAATAGTTTTTCTTCTTAAAATAGTAAAAAATTATTCTTAGTAGGAGAGGATAAATAGTTTTTCTCGTTAAAATAGGAAAAAATTATCCACAAGTTATTAACAAGTTTCCTATTAATACTTAAAAATAATTGGGAATATTAATAATTATTAATAACTTTCCTTTTTTGGGAAAATTATTTTTCCGAGAAATATAATAAAATTACTATTGACAGGAGAGTGTATTGGCTCGGGGAAAAAGCTAAAGAGTGGTGAGCGTCTCGACGCGCCTGAAAGTCGTGATCTACAACTACGTGGTCCTATTTCTGGAGAAACCTCGTGGTTTCAAGAGTGAAACACACTCGAGTGGGGAGTATGCACGATATACGAACACGACCAACGTCCGCGCCATTTATGGCGAGACAGAAATTTTGACAGAAAATCACTTTTTTTGGCGAAAAGAAAATCTTTCAGCAAATTTGACAGAAATTTCTTTTTTTTCTTTTTTGATTACAAATATATACAAAAAGTAGAGCAAAAAATTCAATTTTCTGGAAAATTTTCCTTTTTAATCAGAAATTGAAAAAGTAGAGCAAAAAAAATTCAATTCTCAATTTTCCGGAAATTTTTTCTTTTTCATTACAAATACAAAAAATAGATCAAGAAATTCAATTTTCAATTTTCTAGAACATTTTCAATTTAAATTACAAATAGAAAAATAAGAGAAAAAAATTTAAACCTCTTTTTTCAAACTCATTTTTGGACTTAAAATCAGTTTTCTATTCAGAAATTTAGTCAATATTTCGACTAATTGTAAGTTGATTTTAGTCAAAATAAGGCTTAAAACAAGACTTATTTTTTACAGTGTTTAATATTAATTTCTAATAAGAATTAATTTAAAATTGAAATAAAAAATTCATAAAGATTACGTAACTAAAATAAAAAAAAAATTAATTAATTAATGTCCATTTTTACAAAAAAAAAAGAAAATCAGATATGTACATATATTTAAACTGAAAATGTTCTCAATTATTGAAGGTTTGCATAATTACACAAAAAGTAATTATATATCCACACATCTTGTGACCCAATTGTAGAATGACCTTTTTTAACGCTCTGACAAAAGAGGAAAACAATGTCGAAGAATCTTGACTATATATAAAAATTGAAAACGCTTTGAATTTATTTTACAGAAGAGATTAATTTTTAGAAACTTGGAAATGAACCGAGCGCGCGTAGGTCGAGAACCTATTGTGGATTGCAAAAAATTTTTACGACCTAAATATATTTAATTGCACGTCTCTTAACTCGTTAAAGTTTTCTTACAGCAAGAAAATTGCTTATGTCCTTGAAGGAAAATTTTTTTAACCATTAAAAGCTAGGAATTATCTTACTGTTAATATTGTGTTTTAAACAATTTTTGTAATTTTTTAAAAACCCTATTTTTCTATTTTTTTTTATTTTTTTCATTTCTCTATTAATAATATTTATTTATTTATTAATAACATTTTATACGAGCAATGCCTATTCGTACATAAATTACCAAAAATATATAAATATCGTAAACAAAGTTCATAATTTTTTTTTCTTAAAAATTATTAAATCCTTTATTTATTATAATCATAAGTCAATAATTATGGAAATAAAACTTGCTTATGCTAAATTGGTATTTATTTAAAAAAAAAATTGATCCGATTTTATTAAAAATAAATCCGGGAAGATGAAATCTCATCAACAGATCATTGATTGACCTCGTTCGCTGATATTTTTGGCCCTTGACACTAAACCAAAGGAGCAGTGAAAATATCAACGATTGTTATAATCAGGAAAATTGAGAGAACTCGTTGCTAGTCTAATTTAACGATTACCAGTTGCAATTAGCAGTTTAATTAATTATTACGTAAATTAATTATTGCGCGTAATTTAATAAATCGCTCGAATATAACAGCGAGTTGAAATTTATTACCCGTGTTTACACCGTTGGTTTAAAATCAGCTAAAGATTTCTGTAAACTAACGAGAAGTGGAACGACGAATTTATTTTTTATAGATCAAATAAACTTTTACTTGAATCAAATATATTATTCAGTTGCTTCAAAAATACTTTTTTAGCAAATCCTAATTTTTTTTTATTTATGACAGATAAGTGTACAGGAAAAAAGTATTTTTTAGGTGTTTCAACTAAATATCAATTTAAAGAATATTTCTTTTAAATATTATCTAAAAAGTATTTCTAATAAATATTTATTTATAAATATAAATTAATAAATAAAATAATAATAATAATAATAATAATAATAATAAAATAATAAATTTATAATTAATAATTTATAAATATAAATATAAATTATATTAATTAAATAAATATTTAATAAATTATTATTATTCGTTTATTATTTTCTATTCAGCGTTTTTTTTTCGATGTTATGTCAAAACCCCGATGTGATAAATATATATATTTTAATATAGGTACCTACTACACAAAAAATTCAATTATTTTTAATACAATTTTAATCGAATTCTTCTAAAAATGTAATTATTCTTGAAAATTTTATTAAAATTCGTCAAAAAATTCAATTATTTAAAAATTTGTTGATAAAATTCTATATATAAGAATTCAATTTTTAGATACATTCAATTTTTATTAAAATTCTTCGGAACAATTCAATTATTAATTATTTTCAATAATTTTTGCAAAAGTTCTTTGAGCATTTTCAGCATTTTTACAATTCAATTTTACGAAATTTCGATTACTCGGAAATTCTTTAATTAAAAATATATTAAAAAATAAAAACTTGAAATAATTTCAAAAAAAAATTCAATTAAACTTTTTCAAAAAAATTAATTCCACAGAATTGTCAAAATTCAATTTTTCAAAGATTTTAATTTGAAACCTTTTCAAAATTCAATTATTTTAAAAAAATTCAGGCTGAAATACTCTTATTATTCAATTATTATCTAAAATTTTAACTAAAATTCATTTTTATATCAATTTTTATTAGAAAAATCTATGAGAATTCAATTATTTACAAACAAAAATAAATAATTTATTTAATGATTGAATGTATCTAAAAATTGAATTCTCATATAGAATTGTATCAACAAATTTTTAAATAGTTAAATTTTTCGACGAATTTTAATAAATTTTTCAAAAATAATTACATTTTTAGAGGAATTTGATTAAAATTGTATTAAAAATAATTGAAATTCTTTGATGACTTTTATTATTTATGAAAATAATTTAATGTTTGCTTATAGAATTTTATCAAAAAATTTTTTAAGGTAATTGAATTCTTTTGGAAAATTTTATTAAAATAGTAGATATTGAAAATCATTAAAATGAGGAACATTTTTTAAAATAATTGAAATTTTGACAAGAATTTTATTGAAATTTTTAAAAATAATTGAATTTTAGAGAAGAATTTTATTATTTTTAAAGATAATTGAAATTTTGACGAGAATTTTTTTTAATTTTTGAAAAAAATTGAATTTCTGCGAAAAATTTTATTACTTTTGAAAATAATTGAATTTTTGTAATCATGTGTAACTTTTTCCAAAATTCAAATTTTTCCGCAATACTTTAATAAAAATCTCTGACTTTTTCCTGAACAAAATTATTTAAAATTATTTTTGTATTTTAATTAAGTATGTTTTATATAAATGAATTTGAGATATATATATATATATATATATATATATATATATATATATTTATAAATAAGTTTTATATAAATAAATATTTATTTATTTAGAAATTACTCTTTTCTCAGTGATTTCTTGTTTCTGTTGCTTTCGTTTGTTTTGATTTTAATGTTTTTTCTTTTCCCTTTTTGCATTTATTGTTGTCGTCGGTGTCGATAATATGATATACATTTATAAATACGTGAGGAGTATGAAAAAAGTGACAGGCAAAGAAAAAGTGACTTACCACATAGCCTGGACGGAAACCGGCTTGAAGATGTGTTGACGACCGCAGACGCTGACGCTGAAGCCTCTGTAACACAATGAAAAGAAACCGGAAGTGAGACAAGGTGATCCACATTGTCGATGTGTGCAAATAACGTTTAACCTTAAAGGGTATCCATTGAATTGGCATATATTCTAATTTCAATCTTTTCTTCTAAACAGTTTACACATCGTACTCTGTTCTATTTCAAGAACAACCTATAATATCCAATAATCTATTCTCAAAGGAGATTCACAGTCTGGGATTTTAAACCAATATACATGCACACGCAGTACTATATATCTTCATTATCTTCATTTCCCTCTTCTGAGTTTAGCACAATTTTAATTTGAATATAGATTAGGATTAATGTATTATAATTTATAAATCTAATAATTATTATTTAATATTTACGACTCTAAATTATAATAATATTTATAATTCTCTCTAAATTTGAATTCGTAAAAATGTTCACTAATTTGAGTTTTCCAGCACTTTTAATAAAAATCACTGGCTTTTCCCAGAAAAATTCTACTTTCCCTGAATTCCCTGACCTGTGGCAACCTTGTAAATAGTCATACACGATTTAAAAAAATTGTTAAAAAAAATATCAAAAATCGCATGAGTCCGAAAGCATGAGATACGTACAATTATTTAGAAAATTCTTTCCTTTAGAAAGAAAAATCTCAATCAAGTTACATAAAGTATGTCTCAATGCGCGAATTTTCATTTTATCAACAAATATAATAATGAGACCCAGTTTAATTATAATCCAGGTTATTTCCGTATAATGATTTCCTGTTCTTTAATTGTCTTCAAACAAAACTTCTCCGCCTATCGCTTTTAAAAAGTATAAAAATTCTTCATTCATCTCCTTTGGCAAAATTAGATCGTGGGAACATGATATATATACCTTTGGATCAAATACGACCCTCCTAGTCGCCGGACATGCCTCATAGGTTTGTTCGTGTAGCTCGAAGAGGTAATTACTTAACTTAGCATTTCGCGTATTCCTTATTTTTTTCCCTCTCTTCTCACACTGCCTTTATATACGTATATAGATGTTCTCTCTTATTCTACCTATGCATTAATCGGCTTTTGAATGCGACAGGAAGTGACTAGAAGAAGAAAAAAAAAAATCTCGTACGGAATGAACAAGAAAATAAACTTGCTTCATCTTTATAGTTTAATCGTGCCGGATGTTAGTCATTAATGTTACTATCCTTAAAAAAAAGACAAAAAAAGGGAGGGAGGGGGGAAATAGAATTGAGTCCGGTTTGGCATTAGTTACGTAAGTTGTGTTGTCGCAACGCCATCAATAATCGCCCTATGCAGGTCGACAGTACACTTGTTCACACTTTACATTTTATATGGAAAATTACTCCTGCAATCGTTTTTCTTTTTTTCTATTTTCAATCACGTTTTTCATGTTTCTTTTCTATTTAATTGTGTTTGACCCAGGATGAAAATTATTAAACGGTAAAAATTATTTAACGATATCTTTAATCAGGGTTGCCACGCTTTTGCTCATTTCAAATTCTCTTACTTTTCCAGGTTAAAAAACGGAATTTTCCAGGTTTTTAAAACTACACTTATTGCCAAGAAAAATTTAATTTTGTTTTTCCCTGACATTCCCTTGAATTTCAGACAAAATTCTTACTTTTCCTTCACTCTAAAAAAATATTCTGATTCAGTTTAAAAATTATTACTCAGAAAAATGAATATTTTTCTTCTTCCTTTTTTAATAAATATAATATTTAATGATTATTATTTTTCCATAAGAATTAAGATTTTCAAAAATTTCAAATTCAAAGCTTTTTAAAATTAAACAATTTTCAAAAAAATTATTATAAAACATGAAGAAATCGATCACTCCGAGTCTTCGACTCAGAGCAATCGATATCTTCATGTTTTATAATAATTAATTAATTATTAAAGATGACCGACTGATAAAATAATTATTTTATATTATAAGAATATTGTTACTGTAACTTCATAAAAATTATTTTTATTATTTCAATTTAATTATTTTTTAAAATTTTTAACTAAAATACTTCTTTAAATTAATTATTTTTAATAATTTTTTGAAAAATTTACTTTGAAAATTTTCAAATTTTTTTGTTTATAATTCAATTTTAAGAAATTTCTTCAATTATTTGGAAATTCTTTAATTAAATATATATTACAAAATAAAAACTTTAAATAATTTCAAAAAAGTTCCATTAAACATTTTTAAAAAAATTAAATCTACACAATTTTCAGTTAAAAGTATTAAAAATTCAAACTTTCAAAAACTATGATTTAAAACATTTCTAAAATTCAATTATTTCTAAAAATTTACGCTATAATACTTTCTCATTTAATTAGAATTAATAAAATTGTTTACTAATTGGAATTAGTGAATGAATTTTTGCTTTTTAATTAATAAACTTTACTATTAAATTAGTAAAAACGAATATTTATTAGTAAAATCTGCTAATTCAAAAGCAAAAACCAAAAAGTCAGTCACTAATTAAAATTACAAACCATTTTTACTAATTCAAATTTAGAGAGTTTAATATTCAATTATTATCTAAAATTTTAACTGAAATTCAAATTTAAATCAATTTTTATTAGAAAATTCTGCGAGAATTACATTATTAAAATACAAAAAAAAATGTATTAAATAATTGAATGTTTCTTAAAATAATTAAACTCTCATAAAGAATTTTATCAACAAATTTAAAAAAAATTAAAATTTGAATTTTAATAAAATTTTTTAAAATAATTACATTTTTCGAGAAATTAGATTAAAATTGTATTAAAAATAATTGAATCTCTGTAAAAAATTTGATTGTGAATTGAAAAAAGTTTTTGGAGATAATTGAAATTTTTACAGGAATATTATTAAATTTTTTGAAACATTTTTCAAAATAATTGAATTTTGGAGAAAAATTTTATTATTTATAAAGATAAATGAAATTTTAAAGTGAATTTTTTTTTAACTTTTAATCGTAATTGAATTTCTTCGAAGAATTTTATTGCTTTTGAAAATAATTGAATTCTTTCAAGAAATTTAATAAAAAATATATTGACAATAATACTTAAATTCTAATAAATAAATTATAGAAAGGCTTTTTAAAATAATTGAAATTCTTTGATGAATTTTAATAAAACCCTTTCAAGTTTCATTTATTTATAAAAAAAAAGGCTTTTAATATTCAATTATATTCTATAATTTTAACTAAAATTTATTTTTAAATCAATTTTTATTACAAAAAAAATATTAATTTAATTGAATTTTAATGGAATTTTTAAGAATAATTACATTTTTCGAGAAATTCCATTAAAATTGTAGGCTCGGTGAAACTAGCGACCCGCCGGCCGCCAGCCATCAGAAAAATCCAAAGGCGCCGACACACATATAGTAGCGCGGTGGCCCTATACGGTTTAATCAACGCAAAAACAACGTACGCTAGCTATTACAGTTTATAGAAAAAAATGCAATAGTCACATTTTAAACAGCAATAATATCCTTTTAATTTGCGACCAAGAAACAAGAATTTGGTCGAAAATTGATCGAGTTATGAATTTTTTTGGAACTTTTTTTTTAATTTTCGTTTTTCTGATGCGGGCGGGTGGGGACGCTGGCTGTCAAAAATTATTTAAACATATTCCTATTGGTCCAATGACAAGAATCAATTATCCCTCTTTAATTTGCGACCAAGAAACAAGAATTTGGTCGCAAATTGTTTGAGTTATGAATTTTTTTTGAATTTTTTTTTCAATTTACGTTTTTCTGATACGGGCGGGTGGGGACGCTGGCTATCAAAAAAATTTTAATCATATTCCTATTGGTCCAATGACAATAATCAATTATCCCTCTTTAATTTGCGACCAAGAAACAAGAATTTGGTCGCAAATTGTTCGAGTTATGAATTTTTTTTGAATTTTTTTTCAATTTTCGTTTTTCTGATGCGGGCGGGTGGGGACGCTGGCTATCAAAAATTTTTTAATCATATTCCTGTTGGTCCAATGACAAGAAGCATTAATCCCTCTTTAATTTGCGACCAAGAAACAAGAATTTGGTCGCAAATTGTTCGAGTTATGAATTTTTTTTGAATTTTTTTTCAATTTTCGTTTTTCTGATACGGGCGGGTGGGGACGCTGGCTATCAAAAATTTTTTAATCATATTCCTGTTGGTCCAGTGACAAGAATCAATCATCTTTCTTTAATTTGCGACCTAGAAACAAAGAATTGGTCAAAAATTTCTGAAGTTATGAATTTTTTTCCGATCTTATTCCAAATTTTCTTTTTTCTGATACGGGCGGGTGGGGACGCTGGCTATCACAAAATTTTTAATCATATTCCTATTGGTCCAATGACAATAATCAATTATCCCTCTTTAATTTGCGACAAAGAAACAAGAATTTGGTCGAAAATTGATCGAGTTATGAATTTTTTTGGAACTTTTTTTTTAATTTTCGTTTTTCTGATGCGGGCGGGTGGGGACGCTGGCTGTCAAAAATTATTTAAACATATTCCTATTGGTCCAATGACAAGAATCAATTATCCCTCTTTAATTTGCGACCAAGAAACAAGAATTTGGTCGAAAATTGACCGAGTTATAAATTTTTTTTGAACTTTTTTTTCCATTTTCGTTTTTCTGATACGGGCGGGTGGGGACGCTGGCTATCAAAAAATTTTTAATCATATTCCTATTGGTCCAATGACAAGAATCAATTATCCCTCTTTAATTTGCGACCAAGAAACAAGAATTTGGTCGAAAATTGACCGAGTTATAAATTTTTTTTGAACTTTTTTTTTCAATTTTCGTTTTTCTGATGCGGGCGGGTGGGGACGCTGGCTATCAAAAAATTTTTAATCATATTCCTATTGGTCCAATGACAATAATCAATTATCCCTCTTTAATTTGCGACCAAGAAACAAGAATTTGGTCGAAAATTGACCGAGTTATAAATTTTTTTTGAACTTTTTTTTTCAATTTTCGTTTTTCTGATGCGGGCGGGTGGGGACGCTGGCTATCTAAATTTTTTTAAACATATTC